AATGAATGAATGGACACAAAGGTTAAAAATATCAGCGTTTTATGCCGTTCCAACAGATTTTTTTTCAAACTGGAAATGGTATAAAACTAGGACAGAAAAAGTTCACCTTTTCAATTCAAGCATTGTAGGATCTTGCCCTAAGTGGTGCGGTGGCCTAGAGGTGGAGCTCTCGCCTCACAATCAGGAGGTTGTGAGTTCGATCCTAGGTAGAGGCTGATATTTCTCTCTTTGGGCACAATGAGAATATATCTGCTGAACAAAACTCTGCCTTGGCAACAGGAAGGGCATCCGGCCAGCAAACACTCAGCTCTATTCAGTTGCCCAGACTCCACCCTAATGCAAGGGATTATGGGGTCATTAAAAGAAGATGATTGTAGGATCTTGCCCTGTAGGACTTGTGACCCACTTTCATGCCTACGGGTAGGAAGCACCCTGGGGCTTGGTTTGGCTTCCCCCATAATTCGGTCTGCTCTAGGAAGGGTCATTATCTAGGGCCAGGTGAGATCTGATTGGCTGATCAAGTCAGCTGGTTCCAACTAGGCTAAGGACAACAATACCCATGAACTCCACTGATGTGCCACTGAACGATTTCTGGCTTTTATGTACCTAGACTCAGGACAACTTCTAAAATAAACAAACGCACACAACAATAATAGCAATAGCAATAGCACTTAGATTTATATACCGCTTCACAGGGCTTTACAGCCCTCTCTAAGCAGTTTACAGAGTCGGCATCTTGGCCCCAACAATCTGGGTCCTCCTTTTACCCACCTCAGAAGGATGGAAGGCTGAGTCAACCTTGAGCCTGGTGGGATTCGAACTGCCAAACTGCAGGCAGCCGGCAGGCAGCAGAAGTAGCCTGCAGTCCTACACACTAACCACTACGCCACCAAGGCATAGATAAGAGTTAATGCACCTGGATGATCTAAAGTACAGATATCCAACCTTGGCAGCTTTAAGACTTGTGGACTTCAACTCCCAGAATTCCCCAGGCTGGAGAATTCTGGGAGTTGAAGTCCACAAGTCTTAAAGTTGCCGAGGTTGGACACCCACCTCTGATCTAAACCATTGTGTGTGTGTTTTTCATTGTACTTTACACAAAGCAACTGGAATCTCCTCTGCATTACAGCCTTGCAATCCTCATCTAGCCTGGAGCAATCAAACTATGTTCTCCAGAACCTGAAATGGACTTAAGCAGATGCATCTATTCACGGATTTCACCAATAACTTGCCGAATTAATTGCTAAGTCCCGACAGTTTGCAATGGCAGAACCATTCTACAGAACAACAACAACCCCAAAAAACAAAAAATTTCATTTCTGTCGTTCCACCAGTGATAAAACAAATGGGCCCAGCAGGAACCTTTTGCCCTCCCTTAAGTCAGGTTCATAAGTTTAATCAGAGGCAGATGGAGCTGAAAATAAACTATCCAGGTTTATAATTCACAACAACATATTTGCCCATGCAGTCGCCAAGGAAAAAAAAAATCCCTCTCCCTCTTTCTAACAGCGAGATCGTATTTTTAGACTTTTAAAATGTGCCACTGAATTCTAATTAACAGCAAAGCACCGAATACCTGAAGTTAAAGCCTGCGCTTATTTAAAACTTGAAGAATTAAAAAAACAACAAAAAAAGTGAGATTGCTTTGTTTAAATCTTTAGGATTTAAAGATCCTTTGGAATTTATTAACCCTTAACAACGTTTCCCTTGGGGGGGGGGTTTGGAGAGGGGGGCAAAGTTTCCCATTGAAAGAAAGTCCAAATCATTCATTGTCATCTGCCAGATAATATCTGGGGGGCTTAATGGACCCTGATCATTAGTTGCAAGGATACCCCAAAGAATGAAGAATTTTCCTATTCGGAGGCAGATGTGCTAAAATTGGCCCAAAAAAAAAGGAGCAAGAATTCTTTAAAAGGAGCTGGCTGAGACAGCTACTATGAGGAGCAGAAATTAGGAGCTTGGCAAACTAGAGATAGTTCTCGACTTACAATTATTCACTTAATGACCGAAATTACAACAGCCCTGAAAAAAAAAAAGATTTACAACCTTCTCATCACACTTAATGAAAATTGCAATGCCATATGATCAAAATCTGGCTGCTTGGCAACAGGCGAGTATTTATGACGATTGCGGGTTCCTGGAGGGGGGGGTCACTTGATCGCCATTTCTGACCTTCCCCTGGGGGCTTTCAACAAGTAAAGTCAATGGGAGAAGCCAGATTTGCTTAACGACCAGTGATTTGCTTAACAAACAGTGGAAAAGGTCATAAAACCAGGAGTGGCTGATTTAACAACTGTATCACTGAGCAATGGAGGTTTAGGTCCCAACTGAGGTTGTAAGTTGAGGGGGCAAAGCTTCCCCCCCTCCTTGAAAGAAAGTCCAAATCGTTCATTGTCCTCCGACAGATAACCTGTAGACAGCCTAAGTGGGCATAAGGAGATCAGAGTGGAGAAAATCTGACTGGTCTGGAAATCTAAACTCATCATCATCATCATCATCATCACCACAACCACCATCATCACCATTGCTCACATCTCAGAAAAATGCAACATCAACACTCAGCTGCTGCTGAGAAGATCAGACGGAGGGGTCCACAGATTCCAGCATTTAACTCAAACAATCTTGGCGAGTGACACCATCTGAGTCCATCCTCTACATTAGCAGCCAAGTCTCAGCTGAAACGACCCCCTCTGTTCCCCCCAAACTCCACCACCCACCACCTGCTCCCCCAACCAAGGCCACCACAGAGGTCTCCACCAGACCAGGAGGTTTTCAAAGACCATCTCAGAAGGCATCACCCAGCCAGAGGCGGCCCCAATCGTATCAGCTTGGACCACCACACAGGGACGCTGCTCTCCTACAGAAACGCTTCGAAACAGTGGTGAAATCCATTTTTTTTTACTACTGGTTCTGTGGACGTGGCTTGGAGGGCGTGGGGTGGCTTGGTTGGCGTGGCAGGGGAAGGATACTGCAAAATCTCCATTCCCACCCCACTCTGGGGCCAGCCAGAGGTGGTATTTGCCAATTCTCTGAACTGCTCAAAATTTCCACTACTGGTTCGCCAGAACCTGTCCGAACCTGCTGGATTTCACCCCTGCTTCGAAACCAGGAGCTCAGCTGCCCAGTTCCTCCATCACCACTCCAGTGTGCCCAGGCACCAATGCAGTTAACCAGAAACCCAACTGCAGGACTTGCAAGCAAAAACGTTTTTCCAAAATTGCTGCCGTTCAGGCCCATTTAACAGGAAACATCATTCTTTTGAAAAAAAACAAAAAAAAAAAACCAGCCAGGGAATAAAATCTTCCCCACACATCATCCAAAAACTCTGCAAGCATTTCCCGAGAAGCCCCTTTCGAACTCTAAGCACAGGGTCACAATCTGGTTCACATTTTCCCAAGTCTTCTTATTTATTCCCAATTATTCTTATTTATGGGCGGAAGAGGAGATATACTGTTTTGCCAATTTCCCAAAGGGTATAAACATGGAGGATCAGTTTCTTTGGATCCACGCTATCCTCACTTCCCAAATGAACATTGAGAAGCCAAACATTTCAATTAAGGCCTTTCTCTGATCAAAAAATAAATGTGCATTGGGGAAAAATGTATCTGTTTCTTTGGTTTGTGTTTCCTTTGTAAGGATTACTGGTTTTCCCCCCCCCAATGTTTCTAACAATTTGTAAACAAGCCAGAGTCGCCGGGAATCAGCATATATGATTAGTAGGGTTGGTGGCAAAATCAGCCAGCTGTTCAGGCTGAATGTGGCATTTTGTCCCCCTCTAGAGCTCTTCCTCAGGGCCTGAGATAAGCAGATGTTGCTTCATAGTGTTAAAGATACTGTCGCAGGATGGAAGCTGTTCCAAGTCAGAGCTGCCTTTTGCAATTGACTGATGGTGGTTTTGTCCTCTTCTGACTGGACTTGATGTTAATAGCAAATCATTCAGGCTTTGTTATATTTGCAATGGGTAAAAGTGACTTTTCGTCCTGTAATCCTGCAGCTGCTAGGCCCAGTTGCTCTGCCAACAGCCCTGAGTCCCGTAGTCTACTGGACTACACCATCGGCATTGACAAAATCCCCATCAGTCAATTGCAAAAGGCAGCTTCACTTGGAACAGCTTATGTGCTACGACGAGACCTTTAACCCCATCAAATAACAATGTCTACCTATCCCAGGTCCTCTGGAAGGCCTCAAGAGGTGAATAAAAATGCCAAATCCAGTCTAAGCATCTGGATAATTGTGCTATAATAATAATAATAGATCTGGAGCATTGCTTGAACACCGTCGGAATTGACAAAATCACCACTAGTCAATTGCAAAAGGCGTCTTGATTTGGAATAGCTCACATCCTGCAAAGGTACCTGTAACACCCGCAAACCAGAACATCTGTCTATCGCAGGTCCTTGGGAAGGACTAAACATCTGGACAAAAATGCCAGATCATTTAAACATCTGTCTGATTGTGCAGCCAACAACAATACGATCAACTCAAAAGGGCCTGCATATTGCCCAAACATTCATGTTTGCACACAAAGACATACCAATTATCCTCCCTGCAAGTAGAAAAGTAGACGATCAAGAAAGCCATGCTGATTTTTCCATGGGCGGTGATTTTTTTTCTCCCCTTCTTTCTCTCTCTAGAGCAGTGTTTCTCAACCTTGGAAGCTTGAAGATGGGTGGACTTCAAGCGCTGGCTGGGGGATTCTGGGAGTTGAAGTCCACCCATCTTCAAGCTACCAAGGTTGAGAAACACTGCTCTAGAGGGAAACAATTCAGCCCTGATTTTTTCTTCCTACGAACGGCGAGGATCATCCAGAAATAGGTTTCGCACCTCGCATTGCTATTGTGCAGGCACATCAGGAGCGCACACGGCTGGCCCCCCATTCAGTCGGGCTGCCCCAGGCACCTGCACGGTTCCCCATCTCAACCGACCGACCGAGATCCAGCTGTCGCTCTGCACAAATCGGTCCCTGGAGGGGAGAGAGACAGAACTAACCAGATACTTACATTGAACTCACAGAAATCGAGGCTATCCAGACTTTTGCTCCGATGGATCCGGCCTTTTATCCTCCTTAAGGAAGGCTTTCCCTGGCTGATGCTACAATTCGAACCACTGGGGTTTTCGGAAGAGGGGGTGACCCTGGAAAGAGAGACGGGTGGGGGAAACTGCATTTTAGGTTGGGTTTCCTTTTTTTAAAAAAAAAAATAAAGCACTGCGAGGACTGGAAAAAGGACTCAAGGCTTTTGCATCTGAAATTGAGCCTAAATACCAAGAGGTGAAAGAAAATGAATTTATTTATGAATAAATGCATTTTCCTTCTCTTTATCCCATGAGGTTATACCTGCCCTTTGACTTTTGCATCCACTTCTGCTGGATTTTAGAGCAGGCCTCCAAATTACGACAGGATGAAATCGCTCTCGCTCAGTTAACAAATATGGACGAGAACAACAAATATTGCCAACCTAAGACATATAGAAACAAGCAGGCGATCTCCTTTTTGGCTTTTTTTGTGCGAAGTGTAAGAAAAACAATATGATGATGTATGAGTTTGATGCTTAGGAAAAATAATAATTAAATCATAGCAAAATGGATGTTGTAACCTTAGAGTAAGAGGTTAGTTTAAATTTGCAAAGGTTGTAAAAGAAAATTGGAAGTCTTCCCCTATGTTCCCTCCCTCCCTCCTTCCTTCCTTCCTTCCTTCCTTCCTTCCTTCCTTCCTTCCTTCCTTCATTCATTCATTCATTCATTTTAACTTTGAGAACCACACAGTCCTATTGTGCAGTTACCTTTCTTATACTGTATGCAAAACGTGTAGTCCATTCATCCTGTTAAGCTTGTGATACTCACTCTCATCCATTATACATATAATCTGTTCTACATTATTGAGTTTTATTACGCACTGATCATCAACTGCAATAAAGATTTTTCTTCTTATCCCTTGCCTATTTACAAAACTGTGCTGGATGCAAATCTCTTTCCTACATAATGCAGGTGGTTTTTCCCCCTGGCTTCCCCACCCGTGAATTGTCATCGTATAATCATTTATAGATAAATGATATAAAAGAAGTAAGTAAATGCTTCACCAATGCATCCAGAGTGATTCATAAAAATATGGCGGGACAAGATAGAATACAGCACGTAGATCTTGCAACCATCGGTGAAGAGCCCATCCGTAGGAGAAGAAGTGGCAGAACCTGGGGGCGGAGTCAAAAGAGGGTTCAGACTAGAATCCCTACGTGGCCACTCTTGAATTCCATTGACCCTTAAATAACTCCAAGCAGGTGCTAACCATTAATTAAGAAGATTCCTGTGTAGAGGCTTTTAGCAATAAATCAGTTTAATTGGACCTGCACCTGTAGATCTGATCATTCGTGCCTAACACCATCCATGCTTATGAAGTTCGTCCACCAGGCTGATTTTACACATCCATAAACATAAACTGCTAGTAGGAAGCCCAGATTTACAACCTCTCTGAAAGAAATTGATGCTCGGTCCCACCGGCCAAGGAATTTTAATGCCACCCTAGAGGAAAGTTAATAGGGTGATTGATATCCTTTTATATACATCTCTTGCCTTCATAAAGAGTCTCATTTTATTTATGCCAACCTTCTGGCAAGGAACAAGGGAAATTAAAAAAAAAAAAAAAAGGCCACACAAATTATAAGAGGAGGGAGGGGAGGACATAATTTAAGCTCCACTTGAACGTTAAACATTAAATTAAAAAAGGGAAACCCAATTCTTTCCTAGAAGTCAAAATGATTGGTTTCTAGTCTAGGTTGATAACAAAAGTCTTGGGAAAACCTGAAGGCCAGAGTGTACGCCTTCATTGCCCACCACTTCTTGTTACATTCCCACGAATGGTGGCTAGAAGGTTGTGTGCTATGCTATTCAAAGGTTATCTTCGTAAAAGCCACCAGGGATGATGGAGAGTCCGGTTTAGCAGGTATGATTTTATAGTTCTACCTTCCAAAGCACCAGGAGAGAAGGCGGATGCTATGTGTCCCTCAACGCACTCTGAGAACTAAAATTGACGGACAGTTGTTTGCAAGCAGTGGTGGGACTTTCAGAGCCAACAGAGGTCAAACCAAGTCGTTGCAATGAACGGCACAATAAATGTATCTGTGCTATAGAGGGAAGTCATCTTAAGTCAACATGAGATAGCACTGGACCATAAAACCAAAGTAGAATCTACTGGATCAGCCACAAGGCTGCTGATGGTCAGAATGTCTCATCCCAATATGACTTTGGAAAGCCTACAGACAACCATCTCCGTATCACTTGCCTTTTCAACTGGAGGCAGTCAATAGCCATCTTGACTAATGGCCTTCTTTTCCAGCGGTTGGCCTACTTCCTCTTGGAAAGCCAACTAAGCTAGGAACTGTTGATGCATTTTCTGGCAGAGGGACACCAAGTAAGTAAGTCTCATAGAATCCTAGGGCTGGAAGGGACCTTGGAGGTCTTCTAGTCCAACCCTCTTCCCAAGACAGGAGCTCTTATTGCAACCCGGACAAATGACTGTCCACTCATGATAATGATCCCATCTAGGTGTGAGAAGCACAATGTCCTGTTCAGAACTTCTGGCCTGCCATCGCACAGAACACAAAGCTCCCCTCTTGATTAAAATGCAACACTCAATATATTTAAGAGCTTTTTCTCCCCACAAACCAACTATTGACAAAGCAGTTAACCTAACAACAAGACAATGAAGTTAACACACATTAATTACACAAATCAGATGTCCCTCCCCTCCCCAAAACTCAAACCAAACAAAACTGACCAAATTTTTTAAAAAGGCAATATTGACTGTTTACAGCAATGTTTCCCAATAACACCCAAGGGCGATTTCAGTAAGGATGAAAAAAAAAAAAAAAACATTTCTTACAAAATCTGGCTTTTAAAATTAGATGGAAAAGGAAGAGTTTTATTGGATCCACACTACATTGGAAATATATCATAGAATCCTAGGGCTGGAAGAGACCTTGGAGGTCTTCTAGGTCAACCCTCTGCCCAAGGAGACTTTACACATTCCAGATGTCAGGGTGTCATCCTGTAGACCAGGCTTTTTCAATGTTAGCAACTTGAAGATGAATGGACTTCAACGCCCAGAATTCCCCAGGCACTATAGACCTTAGGAGGGTGTCCCAGGATCAAGAGAAACTACCTATTCCTCTCTCCTGCAGGCGGTCCTCCTACCACCAATGGTGGAATGTTCTACCACGCCATCCCACCATGGAGCACCAATGACAGGGAGAACAGAAGGTGGATAGACTGGTCAAGTTTTTAAATCTATATCTCTAAAATTTCTGCAAATGTACCCCAGACTAAAGGGTAACACATTGTACTGTAACACATTTTTCCCACGTCATTGGGATTCTATTCTCCAAAGCACCTGAAGGCAGGACAAGAAGCAATGGGTGGAAACTCATCAAGGAGAGAAGCAACTTAGAACTAAGGAGAAATTTCCTGACAGTTAGAACAATTAATCCCTAGAACAACTTGCCTTCAAAAGTTGTAAATGCTCCAACACTGGAAGTTTTTAAGAAGAGGTTGGATAACCATTTATCTGAAGTGGTGTAGAGTTTCCTGCCTAAGCAGGGGGTTGGACTAGAAGACCTCCAAGGTCCCTTCCAACTCTGTTATTCTATTCTATTGTTACCTCATTCAAGTGACAAAGTGGGAATATTTTGGCACCATCTCAGGAGGCTTCAGAACTGTGGATTCTTCCATCCCAGATACCCCCTCCCCAAATGGCTCTGTCTCTTGTACAATTCAGAATTCGGAACATGGAAGCCTCATATAGCTGAATTCTAAAACGTGCGACTTGTAATAACACTCAGAATTCAGCAGGCTGTTTGACAATTGTGGGGTCCTTGGTGCTCTCTGAGCTTGGTGGTTTTCTCGCAGACGTTTCATCCCCAAGTTAGGTAGCAACATCAGTGCTGCTTGACAATTGTGTTTAACAATCGGAAGAGCAGACGATGCAATGCCAAATATGTGACCATCCACAGCCACAAGCTTCTCAGAATTGATCAGAATTTATCCTTTTTCTCAACAAGGCCCAGTTTCTCATCTTGCTTTTCCCCCATTTCTCTGAAGGTGTCTAAAAAAATGTATATCTTGTCATCAGTGCCCTTGGGAGGACAACACACATACATTGTGTTGTGATTGCACAACGAACTTGAATTATATATTTGCATTGGCTGTAGCTGACAGAGCTGCGGCAAATCATGAAAGCTTGACAGTCACACAACGACAACACAGCACAGATGTTTTCATTGGGATGGGCTCTCAGAGCTTGTCATAACCTGCCAAGGGTCCACCCTATAAATATTTTTGTACAACCCTACAAATTGTAATTGGGCAGAAAGTGGAAAATAATAAAACAAAGTTCATCCTCTGTGAAGTTTAAGGGGAGAATTTCTTGAAAAGGTCCAAAAATTTGAAGAGGCAACTTTCATGAAGCCAAGATGGCTGCTAGAGAGCAGGGGGACCTTGGAAAAAAGGAGTTTTAGTAGGGAAGTAATTCAATAAACACCAGGGAAGTTGGGGTTCAGTCTTTGTTAGGAAAACTAGATTAATTTTGCAGGTGACGTGTCTTCACAGAACTGTGTTGTTTTGTGAGATGTTCTGAACAAAACCAGCAGAAGAAGGGAGAACAAGCTCACTCATACACACACACATATATAAAAAAAATGGAATCTAGATCAGGGGTCTCCAACCTTGGCAACTTTAAGACTTGCGGACTTCAACTCCCAGAATTCCTCAACCAGCAAAGCTGAAGTCCACAAGTCTTAAAGTTGCCAAGGTTGGAGACCCCTGATATAGAGCTTTGTGGAAAGAAACATCAATGATGAACTCTGCAAGCCAACCTGACCTTGAGAATCTCATTTTGTGCTACTCCTGTCTACAATCTGGTTCCATGGCTGGATTCCAGCCCCTCCTGCACTCACTGTCTTTTCTGCATCTCCACTGAGATGTGGGACACTGGGACACCCAACGTCACAGGGAGAGAATGGAGAGTTGTGCTTAAAGAACGTCAACTACAAACTGCCAGGAAGTGTTACAGCAAGGACATAGGGCTGTGGGAATCTACTACTGCTCCCAACCCTTCAGCCATAAGACCAAGGAAGTGACATCCA